TAGTGGCGAGTAAAATATGTGTGATAACGTCCAACACTTCATTTATTAGGCTATAGACTCATCTTATCTTGATATATGTGATGTTACTCATATTAGTAGTAACTAGTTATGTTACCACATGCCTCTCTTTCTTGATTTATTGCTTGCCACATCATCTATTCTATCTAGATATATGTGATGTTACTATCTATGTTACTCCCACTGTGGATAGTCTTACTTCCTTGAACAGTGACAACACCGCCTTGGCCCACCTTGGACCAACCCACCCACCCACCACCATTTCCTCCTCCCCTGGTCCCGACCTCGGCGGCGACGGCGACGGCGAGGCGCCTCGTCTTCCAGTCAAGCTGCTCTGCTCCCCGCCCGGCATGGTCCCTCTCCTCCGTCCGCTGGAACTGGAACTGGAACTGGAAGCCAGCGCCACCCACAAGGTTAGATCTCACGTGCTCTGCCCGCGCCCTACAGGTGCTTGCGTTTATTCCCACCAGCTTCCTTCCACCGCGACCTACCTAATTAGCTCAAGTACCATGGTCACCAACCAACCACTCAGTTGCGGACCGGGTGCACGCATGCTTGTTTGCTTCAGTGGAATCGCAGCCGTCTCCGTGCGTCCTATTGTCTGTCTTTCTCTCTCGGCGCGTCCCCAGAAATTAAGTAGTAATGGCCACCGGGCCTTGTGGGAGCCAATTCAAGTATGATCAACCCGAGTCTAGGGCTCTAGGTTAGTGCCCGTCTTTTTAACACTCAGCTCTCGTTCAAATGGCATGTCCTTGTGCCGGCCTGCGCCTTGAAGACTGCAACGCCACCAGCGCCAGACCGGCGGCTTAATTAGCTTTGTCTTTAGTCTTTACTCTTGGATTTACTTCACGGGATGGGATGGGATGTGGTTAGTTGGGTTCATCAGATCCGATGAGAGCAATGTTTAGATGGATACTGGGTTACTGGTCGTTCCAGCCTGAGCTTGATCACTTTTTCAGGGGCACCACCTTCAGTTCGTTACCACTATGTTAGTAGAGACCTCCATACTGAAGGAATCCATTCCGTGTGACAAGTGCAGCTAGCCCAATTATTACTACTACGTTTGAGGAATCACTCACTTACTCCTTTTCTTCTTCTTTTTTATGCGAGATCAAATAATAATGTTGACATCAAACCCCACGTCCTCACTGTCTCTCGTCTCGGCAGCCCTGCTGCTCTTTGTTTAGTCTGAGCGCTACTTTGTGCAATCTTTGTTTCCGACTTCTGTGAGTACTTTTATTTATGTTCCCGTGGCTGTCCAATGCAAAGCACTGCATTTTGTTCTCATCAGTCAACACTCAACAGTGAATCAGGATCTCGATTAATGCTTGGGATTTATTTGCTGCCCTCAACTTTTTACATGCGAAACTAGCCTAGCAAGTGGTGGAACCGCAAGTGTCTCGCAATGATTGACCTTTTACATATTTCAGCTAGACTCAGTTAAAATTAAAGTTACAACTCTCTACTTCTCTTTCTCTCTCTTGAAATAAAATTATAACTCTATGCTGTCAACTGCCGCCCCCTTCCTGAAAGAACTGTGCAAGGTTTCAGGTCAAGCCCCACACTCGTGGCCATGGCCGGCGACGAGCTCCACCCTCTTACTCGCAACACTTGGCGCCGAGAGGGTAGGCGTCGCCGCTGATGGATGTCTGCCGCCATCTCCTCCCGCTTTCCCATGGCCCAGCTCGCTGCCGCCCGTGCCTTTCCTCCGCTCCCACTCTTGTTCGTGTGCAATTTCTTTGGAAATTAGGGAGCTGCGTTGTTAATCTCTCCATGTTTTGGCAGAGTGTGAATAAAAGTACTACCTTTTTCATTTTTGAGACGAACAAAAGTACTATCTCCCGTTCAATGCTGGTTTAGTTTAGCATCTTTATATTCACAAGTTGATGTGCCTCTGTATATATTACAAACAATCCAACTTGCCCCAACAATAGCTAGCTAACATTACACGCCAAGGCGCTGGTTTAAAATCAGCACAAATTTAAGAAGACAAAAATGTCAGTGTCATTGTTGCAGCTAGCAACACGCTAGTAACAACTTCACCTTATTTATATGGTCCAACCAATGTGTATGGGTGACTGCAAAAAATAGGAAGACTACATGTATCAGACCAAGTCTCTGTACCCTTGTCTTAATTTATCTTTTATTATACTTTATCTTCTCTTGTATATTATGCCAACTTGGTTAGACAGAAACCATATGTTAAACAAATGATGTCAGTGATTAGGTGATGGTATTGACCAGCAAATCAAATGAAGGCCAGCAGCAATTACATGGCGAATTCGGTCCATTAGCCCACTTATTTCCCCCCACCTAGGTAGGTAGCTACAGCCAACTTAAGTTAGTTCCATCAAAATAAAAACAGATGAATATAAAGCCTTCACTAACTTAGTGCTCTTTATCCTATTGTAATTTTGCACAAATAACTGCATGCAGTGCAGTTCAGCTTTAAAACCTTCTCTACGCTCGAAGATGTAACCAGGCAGCAAAAGCTATCTCTCTGTGTTTCAGTGAAGCGAAAAAATGAGCTGGTTAATCTATCCGTGTTTCCTCTTGCGTAGCTTCATAGGGACAGTGCACCCCTTCAACGCCGGTTTACCTGGCGTCAAATGTTTCCCCTCCTCCTGCACCGTAGAAGAACAGAAAATGGTGACGTGCGCGGGGGTCTGCTGGAGGCTGCTACGGTGGAGCATGGGAGCGGCGGAGGACGCGCGGTTGAGCTGAGCAGGGGAGCTGAGGAGTGCGGGTTGTATCAGATGTTTTGGGAGGTTTTTTTTTTGCAAAAAAAAAACATTGCGACAAACTTTTCGGGATGGAGGGACTATTATATATGATGCCGACCTGGTTTGAGTGAAACCATATGTTAGATAGATGATGTCATTAGTTAGGTGATGGTATCATGTGAAGTAGGGATACATTCATGCATCGACCTGCAAACCAAAAGAAGAACGACAGTTCAGTATGGAACATAATTAGCTAAATGCGTGGCAAATTTCTCCCCGCCGTGTTTAGCTACATCCAACTTGATTAAGAATTAGTTCCCCAAAAATAAAGTAGATGAAGATAAAGCCTTCACTAACTTAGTGCTCTTTACCCAATTGTAATTTTGTACAAATAACTTCATGCAGTACAATTCAACTCTATACCTTCTCTACGCTCGAAAATGTAACCTGGTAGCAAGATATCTCCCTGCCGTAAAATAAATTTTACAGCTCTCTGCTCTAAAAGTCCCGTCCCCTCCCTGAAACAACCGTGCAAGGTTTCAGGTCAATCCCCACGCCCATGACCATGGCTGGTGACGAGCTCCGGCACCCCCTCCTTCGCAGCACTCGGCGCCCAGAGGTCGGGCGCGCCACCGATGGGATCTCCTCCGCCGGCGTCTTCAATTCCCCGTCGCCCGCCTCGCCGCCGTGGGTACCTCTCCTCTGCCACAACTGTGCGGTTTTTGTGGAAATTAGGGGCAGAGTCGTCAAATCTCTCCGCTTTTTGGTGGCTGCTCTACGTAGCATCATTTGTATCCACAAGTTGATGTGCCTCTGTATATGCAAAAACAACCCAAATTGCCCAAACATTAGCTAGCTAACCTGGCATGCCAAGGCGCTGGTGTAAAATCAATAGAAAATTTGACAAGACAAAAATGTCATTGTTGCAGTTAGCAACACGCAAGTAACAACTTCATCTTTATTTGTATGGACCAACCAATGTGTAGAGGTGACTGCAGAATACACGAATGCATGTATCAGGCCAAGTCTTGGTACCCTTGTCGTAATTTATCTCTTGTTATTTTGATTTATCTTCTACTATTATATATGACGCCAACTTGGTTAGAGTGAAACGATATGTTAAGCAAATGATGCCCTTGATTAGGTGATGGTATCATGTGTAGTAGCTGTAGCTGCTGTACACTCATGCACTGACCAGACTGAAGGCCGGCAGTTCAGTATGAATTATAATTGGCTAAATGAAGGGCCAGTTGTAACTCTGTAAAAATAACCTCATGCAGTACAGTTCAACTTTGGAACCAAGTAGCAAAGCTATCTCCATGCCTCCATGGCGAAACTTCCTGTGGTATTCCCATTCACCACCATCGGGTTGTTTTCTTCTTTCCTGAGAGACAACTTCTGCCGCCCTCGCCAATAATGAGAAGGAAAAGGAGTAAAGTATGCAGGTGACGGAGGCTTGAAGAGAAAAATTCATTAGAAATTTGAGAAGACAAAAATGTCAGTGTCATTGTTGCTGCTAGCAACAAGCTAGTAACAACTTTCTCTTATTCATATGGGCCAACCAATGTGTAGAGGTGACTGCAAAAGATAGCAAGACTGGATGTATCAGACCAAGCTAGTCTTGGTACCCATGTCTTAATCTACATTTTGTTATTTTACTTCATCTTCCAATATATATGATGCCAACTTGGTTAGAGTGAAACCATAATAGGTGATGGTATCATGTGGAGTAGGTATACAGTCATGCATTGACCAGGAAACCAACAAAGGCCGGCAGTTCAGTATGGAATATAATTAGCTAAACAGGGTCCAAACCCTGTTTAGTTGATCAGATCTGGTGGGAGCATTACCTTCCAGCTTTTGGTATCTGGTGAGAGAGGGTGGGAGGGGAAAAAATAGAAAGACTTCGTTTATCATACCAGGGTCTCTGTATCGCCAAATGGCACTATCTGCTACTTTGTAGACAACACTGGGCATACCAAGTTTCTCTCTCTATGTACAACTCAACAGCCAACACAGCCCTTTTGCAGCTATAGCTAGGCAAGCGGCATCCATCACTGGCAGACAGGCAGGATCCTCCAGCACCTCGAGCGTGCGTCAAAGTACGTACTCCTCTCCTTTAATTTGCAGCTAGCAACATCTTGTACCAGTAATCTCAAGGATTAGCAGTAAATGCATGCTTATTTAATTACGAGTGAATTCCTTTTGATTCCTGGAAGCAGGGGCAGCACGTCGTCTATCCCTGCATCAGATCAGAGGATGGCCGACGTGGCCCTCGGAGTGGCGCAGTGGGTGGTGGCCAAGGCGCTAGCCCCTGTCGCAGATGGTGTGCTGGAGGCTTGGGCGGCCAGCAGGAACTTTGGTCCCAACATCGAGGCCCTCAGGATGGAACTGCTGGTCGTGCAAGCGACGCTCGAAAACGCTACTCGCAAGGAGCTCGGTGGCCCGGCCATGGAGATGTTGTTGGAGAAGCTGCGGAAATTGGCACACAATGCCGAAGACTTGTTGGACGAGCTGGACTACTTCCGCATCCACGATGAGCTCCATGGCACGTACGATACAGCCGACCAACATGGCGAGGGTGGCGTCCACGACCTCGCCCTCAATGCGCGCCACACTGCCAAAGCTGTTGGCAAACTGGTCAACTGTTTCCCTTGGCAGCGTGCTAAACGCCGGCAGAGGTCACCTGCCGATTCCTCCTCGGCGGCAAGCGCAAATCAGGAGGTCAGCGGATGCATGCCCAAGCTCGGTAAACTCCTTCCCTTCTCATCTTCCCCAGATTCACATGTTCGTGAGGAAGATTGTGGTAATGTGCAAGAAACACCAATTCTTGGGTTTAATAGGGTTGATTTCTCTCAAAAGATGAAGGACATAGTAGAGAATTTACAGCTTGTGCGTGAGGATGTTAATGGCCTTCTGCAGAGTTGTGGCCCTAGAAATGCCTCAAACATTGTCCAGTGCCGACCTATCACCAAAGGTGGAATTTATGAGCCAAAACTATACGGGAGGGATCTTGTCATGAATAGCATCATAGATGACATCACCAAGGGTCGACATTGTGATAAGGGTGTAACTGTGCTTCCAGTTGTTGGTTTGGGGGGAATGGGGAAGACAACTCTCATACAACACATATATCGCAATCAGCGAGTGTTGAGTCATTTTCCAGTCATGATTTGGATATGTGTGTCACTCAATTTCAATCTGGATAATGTGCTAGAACAGATCAAAACATATACCCCTCAAGTCGAAAGTGAAAAGGAGTAGTACAACAGAAGAGCTGATTGAACAAAGATTGAAATCTAAAAGGTTCTTACTTGTATTGGATGATATATGGCATATTAGTAATGGGGATGACTGGGGAAAATTATTGTCAACTCTTAGTAAATCAGAAGAAAAAGGATCCATGATTCTTGTCACAACTCGGTTTCAAGCAATAGCACGGAAGGTTAAAAAACTGGTCAGTCAATAAATCTGAATGGTTTAGAATCTGAAGAGTTTAGGAAGTTATTCCTTGCATTTGTCTTTGGTGATGAGCAATATCCAAGGGAGAAACAATTTTTTCTTGGGACTGGAGATAAGATAATAGAAAAACTAAAGGGATCTCCTCTTGCAGCAAAAACGGTTGGTAGATTACTGAGTAAAGACCTTAGCTTGCATCACTGGAAAAGGGTCCTAAAAAGTAAAGGATGGGAGAAGCAGACCGATGACAATGAAATAATGCCTGCCTTGAAGCTAAGCTATGACTTTCTTCCTCTCCATCTGCAACAATGTTTTGCCTATTCTGGATTGTTTCCTGAAGATTACAATTTCAAAAGCGACGAGCTGATCAGTCTATGGATTGGACTAGATATTTTGATGCCCAATGGCCAAAACCAAACATTTGAAGACATAGGTCTGAGCAATTTAAATGAGTTAGTCACCCATGGATTTTTCAGAGAAGAGGAAACTAAGTATGGTCTGTGTTATGTTATGCATGACCTACTGCATGATTTGGCATTGAAAGTTGCATCAAATGATTGTCTTAGTTTATGTCTCTCTGATGTTGGACCAATGGAAATTCAGCCATCCACCCGTCACTTGTCTATTAGCATAGATGACTTAGGTGAATATGATGGAGTGACTGGTGAAAAATTGAAGAGTAAATTGGAAGAACTGAAGACAAGATTTAAGGTTGAACATTTGCAAACATTGATGTTATTTGGAGAAATGGATGAAGGTTTTGTCAAGATATTTGGTGATTTTTTTGGAGAAGTTAATGCTCTCCGTGTTCTTCATTTGCCCATCATGCTTTGTCCTGTGGAGTCTATGTTACATAACTTTTCAGTACTTGTCCACCTACGATACCTATGTCTTTGGGACAAGTAAGAGCCAGATGCATTTACCACTAAACATCTCTAAATTTTATCATTTAAGGATTCTAGATCTTGAATTGTGGGACGACAGTCGTAATTTGCCCGAAGACATCAGCAACCTTGCCAAATTGTGCCATTTTTGTGTCCCAAATGATGACCAGCTTCATTCTGATATCTATAATGTGGGAGAACTTAAACTCTTAGAAGAGCTTAAGATATTTAAAGTCAATAAAAGAAGTGAAGGGTTTGAACCAAAGCAACTAGAGCACTTGACCAACCTAAGGGAGCTTAGCATCTACAACCTTGAGAAAATACATACAAAAGAAGAAGCAGCCCAAGCAAAATTGGTCCGAGATGTTTCTGACCATAATCCCCTCCTTATGTCCACAAACAGCTCGCAACCTCAATCTCCTAAGCCTAGAGAGTTCAGATTTGAGATGAGTTGGATGGCCAACGAGGAATTCCTCCCTTTGGTCAAACAAATCTGGCAGAAACCAGTTAAGTCCTCGGACCCTATAGATGTCCTAAATATCAAGTTGAAGCGGTTTAAAAAGTTTTTTAAAGGCTGGGGTTCTGATAAATTCGGGCACACCAATAAAAGAAAAAAAGTGATCAAGGACGAGCTTGCTTCCATAGAAGCTATGGAAGAACAAGGGCCTCTTGATCCTGATACACTTATGAAAAGAGCCTCTCTTAGTGGCGAACTCCAACAACTCATGGTGAATGAGGAATTATATTGGCTTCAACAATCACATGAAACTTGGTTGTTGAAGGGTGATCAAAACACTGCTTTCTACCATAGGATTGCCAATGGGAAGAAACGTAAAAACACCATTCACTCCTTCTCGTGTGGTGACACCACCATTGAGGGGACTGATAACTTGCTTAATCATGCTACACATTACTATAAAGAGCTTTTTGGTCCGGCCCCCGGGAATCTTTTCCACTTAGATCCTGACACTTGGGGTGATGATGAAAAACTCATGGATGAGGATAACGAGTTCCTGACTAGACCCTTTAGTACATCACATAAGCCTTGCAAGCATAAGAGATAACGAGGTATCTCTGGGCCCTCTCGGTAATGCACATCACATAAGCCTTGCAAGCATTGCAACTAATGTGTTAGTTGTGAGATGATGTATTACGGAACGAGTAAAGAGACTTGTCGGTAACGAGATTGAACTAGGTATTGGATACCGACGATCGAATCTCGGGCAAGTCACATACCGATGACAAAGGGAACAACGTATGTTGTTATGCGGTCTGACCGATAAAGATCTTCGTAGAATATGTAGGAGCCAATATGGGCATCCAGGTCCCGCTATTGATTATTGACCGGAGACGTGTCTCGGTCATGTCTACATTGTTCTCGAACCGTAGGGTCCGCACGCTTAAAGTTACGATGACAGTTATTATGAGTTTATACATTTTGATGTACCGAAGTTTGTTCGGAGTCCCGGATGTGATCACGGACATGACGAGGAGTCTCGAAATGGTCGAGAAATAAAGATTGATATATTGGACGGCTATATTCGGACACCGGAAGTGTTCCGGGTGATTTCGGATAAAACCGGAGTGCCGGAGGGGTTACCGGAACCCCTCGGGGAAGTAATGGGCCTTATTGGGCCTGAGGGGAGAGAGAGGGCAGCAGCCCAAGAGGTGGCGCCCCCCCCCCCCTCATGGGGAGTCCGAATTGGACTAGGAGGGGGGGCGCGGCCCCCCTTTCCCTCTCCCTCTCCCTCTCTTTCCTTCCCCCTCAAGTCTCCTAGTTGGACTAGGAGAGGGGAGTCCTACTCCTACTAGGAGGAGGACTCCTCCTCCCCTTGGCGCGCCCCATAGGCCGGCCAGCCTCCCCCTTGCTCCTTTATATACGGGGGCAGGGGGCACCCTAGGACACACAAGTTGATCCTCATGATCGTTCCTTAGCCGTGTGCGGTGCCCCCTGCCACCATATTCCACCTCGGTCATATCGTTGTAGTGCTTAGGCGAAGCCCTGCGTCGGTAGAACATCATCATCGTCACCACGCCGTTGTGCTGACGGAACTCATCCCCGAAGCTTTGCTGGATCGGAGCCCGGGGAGCGTCATCGAGTTGTACGTGTGCTAAGAACTCGGAGGTGCCGGAGTAACGGTGCTTGGATCGGTCGGATCGGGAAGAAGACGTACGACTACTTCCTCTACGTTGTGTCAACGCTTCCGTTGCGATCTACAAGGGTACGTAGATCATACTCTCCCCTCTCGTTGCTGTGCATCACTATGGTCTTGCGTGTGCGTAGGAATTTTTTTGAAATTACTACGTTCCCCAACAGTGGCATCCGAGCCTAGGTTTTATGGTTTGATGTTATATGCACGAGTAGAACACAAGTGAGTTGTGGGCAATATAAGTCATACTGCCTACCAGCATGTCATACTTTGGTTCGGCGGTATTGTTGGACGAGACGACCCGGACCAACATTACGCGTACGCTTACGCGAGACCGGTTCTCCCGACGTGCTTTGCACATAGGTGGCTTGCGGGCGACAGTCTCTCCAACTTTAGTTGAACCGAGTGTGGATACGCCCGGTCCTTGCGAAGGTTAAAACGGCATCAACTTGACAAACTATCATTGTGGTTTTGATGCGTAGGTGAGATTGGTTCTTACTTAAACCCGTAGCAGCCACGTAAAACTTGCAACAACAAAGTAGAGGACATCTAACTTATTTTTGCAGGGCATGTTGTGATGTGATATGGCCAAGACATGATGCTAAATTTTATTGTATGAGATGATCATGTTTTGTAACCAAGTTATCGGCAACTGGCAGGAGCCATATGGTTGTCGCTTTATTGTATGCAATGCAATCGTGATGTAATGCTTTACTTTATCACTAAGCGGTAGCGATAGTCGTGGAAGCATAAGATTGACGAGACGACAACGATGCTACGATGGAGATCAAGGTGTCGCGCCGGTGACGATGGTGATCATGACGGTGCTTCGAAAATGGAGATCACAGGCACAAGATGATGATGGCCATATCATATCACTTATATTGATTGCATGTGATGTTTATCTTTTATGCATCTTATCTTGCTTTGATTGACGGTAGCATTATAAGATGATCTCTCACTAAATTATCAAAAAGTGTTCTCCCTGAGTATGCACCGTTGCCAAAGTTCGTCGTGCCCAGACACCACGTGATGATCGGGTGTGACAAGCTCTACGTCCATCTACAACGGGTGCAAGCCAGTTTTGTACACGCAAAATACTCGGGTTATACTTGACGAGCCTAGCATATGCAGATATGGCCTCGGAACATGGAGACCGAAAGGTCGAGTGTGAATCATAGAGTAGATATGATCAACATAATGATGTTCACCATTGAAGACTAATCCATTTCACGTGATGATTGGTTATGGTTTAGTTGATTTGGATCACATGATCACTTAGAAGATTAGAGGGATGTCTATCTAAGTGGGAGTTCTTAAGTAATATGATTAATCGAACTTAAATTTATCATGAACTTAGTCCCTGATAGTATCTTGCTTGTTTATGTTGACTGTAGATAGATGGCTCGTGCTGTTGTTCCGTTGAATTTTAATGCGTTCCTTGAGAAAGCAAAGTTGAAAGATGATGGTAGCAATTACACGGACTGGGTCCGTAACTTGAGGATTATCCTCATTGCTGCACAGAAGAATTACGTCCTGGAAGCACCGCTGGGTGCCAGGCCTGCTGCTGGAGCAACACCAGATGTTATGAATGTCTGGCAGAGCAAAGCTGATGACTACTCGATAGTTCAGTGTGCCATGCTTTACGGCTTAGAATCGGGACTTCAACGACGTTTTGAACATCATGGAGCATATGAGATGTTTCAGGAGTTGAAGTTAATATTTCAAGCAAATGCCCGGATTGAGAGATATGAAGTCTCCAATAAGTACT